CAAAACCTGTCTGGTTCAAGAAAGGTCCCAAGAACTTAGTTGAAAGTGGAAGTCAAAATGAGAAACAGATTCTATTTCTACAGCCATTTTTAAAGGTCTCCTGATAACAGTGTTGAAAATGTGACATCTCCAAACCCAATGTTACCCTTTTCCTCATTCAGTCACCAGTAACACACCAAGACAGACACTCTCTAAGCCTAACAGCTATACTGTGGCTAACAATTTCTCAGGCATTAGAAAAATCAAACATCATAATGATTTTCAATATCACTAATAATTAGGAGGCGGAAAGTATTAAAAAGGGTATTTTTTGCCCAGAGATCAGCCAAATTGAAAAAACGGACACTACCCAGTTTTAGCAAGGGTGTGGAGGAAGAGGATGATAATTCGATCATTTATGGAGGGCTATTTGACAACGGAAACAATCATTTTTGAGCAGCAAATTGTTTCTTTGAATTGGTCCCACAGAAATTTTTCAAGACACACTGGTGTGAGGTCAAGGACAGTGGCTCTCACTGAGGGGGGCACTTGACGGGATGAGCACTGGGTGTTACTCTATATGTTGGCAAATTGAACACCAATAAAAAATAAATTTCTTATTAAAAAAAAAAAAAGACAGTTGCTCTAATGGTTAATAGTGGAAAAACTGGGTAGAAATGTCCAAAAAGAGGAAGCTGTTTAAAATATATGATGGAAAAAATAAAATAAAATACATGATGGACTGTCTTCCAATATGAGTGGGCAGCTACTGACACATATGAATACTGCATGGAAAAAAAAATGTAATGCTAAGGGGAAAAGAAGGTTTTAGGAGTCCACATAGTAGGATTCTCAGGAGACTAAAAATTAGATATAATCATGTTTTTAAAGATGCCTGCCATTGGCCTGCCAGATTCACACCTTCCATCTTCTTCTGGGACCTAACCCCTCTCCTCTCCATCTGTGTGGCTCCTGTGGGGGCTGTCATGGCCACAGATGACAGGGGTAGGGCTTGAACCTAGCTGGCAAGATGTCCCTTATTTGAATTTTTTTTTTTTTACTTGACACCAGTGAAACCAGTCAGCCTTGGGTACAAATGCAGGTGTTATGCTGGCTTTCTGTCATCTGGGGAGCCTGCCCGCAGCAGGGAGATGAAAGCCACATGTGGGGAGTGCACAGGCTGGATGTGGCCTGGCTATGCTCAGATAGATGCCTGCTTCCAAGACTGCTCGGGCTTCCTGTAGCTCTCTGCCTCCAGCTGGGTATCCAGCTCCTGTGTGTGGAATATCCTTCCAGCACAGCCCTTTTCTGTTTAAGCTATTAGAGTATCATTCTGTCATTTCCAGCCAAGGATCTTAACAAAGGAAAAAATGGGCACGTAAATCTGTGGAAATATACCCTGATCTGTTTGCAGTGTTCTTTCCAGTGAGGGTCCTAGCATGGAGAATTTGATATAATGCTTAGATTTTCATTATTTAGTTTTACAATGATCATGTAATTCTTTTGAAATCAAGAAGTCTAAAAAAAAAAAAAAAGCCTTTCAGGTCTCTACCTAGTTTTCATAGAGCCTAAAAGATAAATGACAAGGACATTTGAGCAGCAGGCCCGAGCACCATGCTGTCATGTTGGAGAATGCATCTGAGTTGGACTTTAGAATTTACTAGTGCCTCTATAAGCATTAGTCCCAAGGGCCTTGGATGGACTCTCCTGATACTTGGGATGAGAAAGCAACTCCCTTCTTCAGAGGGACATGAAGATATGAAGATTACGGTTACAACAGCCACATCTGGTCTCTCACTCACAGAAGCTTGCTGATGGTGGTCCTATTAGAATAGGATGGCCATTCTAATCCCATCCATCCTTCCACTGTCATCAGCCCTCCCTTCTGCTCCAGTGAGACTCCACCTAAGAAGACTTAGTCACCAGCCTAGAAGGTGAAAAGTGAGCATCTTGAGTGCCATTGCCCTTAATCCAGTTAGGGGGTCAGCCAGGTAGAACCCTGACTCCTGGAAAGTGCCCAGCAGCTCACCTGCTAGGCTGCAATCACCAGACTCCCACAGCTCACCGTGATCCCCACCCAACAGCAGGGCAAAGGCACGGGCTCTAGTCCCCATTAGGGCAGTCCTGCTGAGGCTTATCTTGTCTTTGGCCACGTGTCCTTTTGTAGATTTAGATCAATGATAGTGCTTCCATGGAATGAACTGAAATTGTGACCCTTGACAGGAAGGGTGGGCTTGATTAAGGATTCCCTATTCCCACCTCAGCAATTTAGTCCATGGGCTCCTCTGTTGTGAGATGCTAATAAAGCTATCCAAGCCATCAACATTACCTAGTTACTCTGTCCATTAAGACACTTATAACCCCTGAGGAGGCTGTGGCTGTGTTTTTCAAAAGAGAAACATCAGTGTCTCTGGGCTCCTGTCAACAGTCAGCTGATAGGCTGGCTACCTTTTTTTTTTTTAATTTTTATTTATTTATCATAGTCACACAGAGAGAGAGGCAGAGACACAGGCAGAGGGAGAAGCAGGCTCCATGCACCGGGAGCCCGACGTGGGATTCGATCCCGGGTCTCCAGGATCGCACCCTGGGCCAAAGGCAGGCGCTAAACCGCTGCGCCACCCAGGGATCCCCTACCATTTTTATTCTCCTTGCTGGTAACTGCTCTTCTGCTGCTCCTTTCCCCAAACCACGACCCTCCTGTCATCAGGAGCTGTCCATCTGCTGCCAGGAAGGCATCTGGAAACTAGACATTCAGCATTCCTTTCCTGAGACCTTGAGGAATAGCTAACTGTCACCTATGATTGGAATTCTCTGTGCCAGTTGGTGACGGTGGGAGGAATGGAGCCCTGTAAAGCTCCAACACAGAAAACTCCATTTCTCTCTCCCATAAACTTGACATGGGGGAATATCTAAGCTGGAAAGGCAAGATTTCCATACAAAATTAGTCATTATAATCATTAAAAGGGTTAGTGGTTTGGGACTTTTTTTCAGAGCTCACATGTCACATAAAGTAGTCTGGTTGTGTCAGGACCAAAAAATGTGGAGTGCCACACGAATGGCCTGTGTGTGGTTCTTTTGTGCCCACCCTGGCTGCTCTGACTTGGGTGGAAGTGTAAAAGTGAATTTTTAAGGACAACTGGGTGAAATGTGAGCAAAAGTCCTCTGTACTTGGATTGGAAGACGTATTTGAGATTGACATTAATTCAAGGGGGGGCCATTCTTTCATGAGGTCATCCTTGAAAATAAAGACCAGGTCTTAAATTGATCTCAAGCTGTATTAATATATCACCAAAAATTAAATTCCTCTAAGAAAATGGTCTCTGAATCAAGGCTCATCTATAATGTTAAAGTATTTCTAACAAATGTTCAAGACCAGAATCTCCACTAAATGGATGGTGAGAGTTCTTATTTTTGACAGACTCCAAACTTGTCTCTGATTTGGTTTAAAACAAAATTATTTTGGGGATGGGGAGGTGTGAGCAAAAGATCCATAACACGCTCCTTATAAGCTACTGTAACAGCATATATTCCCTGTCAACTTGCTTCTCATGTTAACCAGTTCAACAGAACAGTATCTCTGATAGCACGAGGACTGCGTTTCTACTCTAAATGAACAAGGAAATTATAGATCATACACATCTGGAAAAGTCATTAAGAAGAGCCTCTGCTTTCTGTGGTTAAGCAGAAGAATGTGTTTTTAAAAAGAAAATAAATTATGATCGGTGTTTCACTGAAGAGGACGACTGGTGCATGGGAGTCAAAAGGAAATAACTCCCTTGAGTTTGTGAGCACCTGGACAACTATGTTATTGGGAATAGCCACTCTCCTGAGGCCCCAGGTCCAGGACAGGTAAATGGATGCATTTAGGCAGATGGCTGGGTCCTGCCAGCGGGAAGAGAGATGAGAACATAATGTTGCCTTCAGGCACCAAGGAAACATCAGTATTTCCCCATTGGCTCTTAAGATTTAATCCGGCCTTATGTGGGTCTTGCCACTTGATCTGCAAGTAGACAACTGTTTTTTAACATCATGATATCCAACTTGGTATAGTAGACAGAGTAATGTGCTTGGTGCCAAAGTCCCAAGTCTCAGTTCTGATTTCCCTGTATTAGCCAAGAGACCTTACCAGCCAAGCCACTTACAGACTTCTGAGCCAATGCTTTCTCTCCTGTGCAAATGGGGTAAGTCACCCTTCCTGTCTTTTATGACTGGGCTACCATAGGAGAATCTTTAACAAAGTACTTTCTAGACTGAGAATTGATATATGAAGGGAAGGCATTCATGGTTTTAGGGCTTCGATGGTAAGAAATAGGTCACTAGGAAAGGCTTCATTCTGAACCCCTACTCCCTTCTGAAAGAATCCAACAGCTTCAGCAAATTATGCTTAGCAAGATCTTCACTACTTTCTCCCCCATGTTTTTCATGTACCCACTTCAGATTCACAGACACAGAACTTGAACTCCGGTTCATCACTGAGTGTCTGCTAAGTACCTGCTATGAATTTGGTATCACTCTGCAAAGCACAAGAGGCAGGAAAAGAAGAGGGTACTGTCCAAGCACAGCTTACAAAGGACAGAGGCTGGAGAAGAAGAGGGGAGACAACGGAGCCTGGGAACAGGATGCAGCGTGGGTCATGGGTACGTAGGGATCGTTGGCAGGAAATGGGCCTTAAGCTCCCCCAAATACTCTTGGAAATCAAGGACTATGTAGAAATGGAGAATAAAATAAAATGGCAGAGAGCATCAGACAGAAAGGTAGGTTTGGGTTTCACCTTCAGGTTCCACTTTCTTGAGCAAATCTCCCCTTCTCTGGACTGTGGTTCCCGCCCTGGCCACAGAAGACCCTGTCCGGCTCTCCCAGGCCGATTCCCTGACTCCTTGGAGCAAGCTGCAAGCACAGGGGGAGCTCGGTCCTCATCCAAGCCTCACAGTCTCTGACAGCTGGGTCACCACACACCGAGCCTAGTGAGCAGATCACACATGGATGCACAACCACCTCACAGCAGAAGGGCTGAGAATTACCTGGTGTGGCTGTTGGAGGAGAGGCTTTCCCAGGGCTGCACGCTGCAGCCAGCCACGGCAAAGGCGCCCCCACAGCTGCCATCCAGCTTCGTGAGCAGGGCCTTGGCAGCATTCTCAGCGGTCTTCCGACAGTCGTGCGCGCACTTGAGCATCTGAGTGATGTTTTCATCCCCTGACTGGTCTCCTACATTGCAAAGAAACCAAAGGATGAATCCACACAAACCGACATGGGACAAGTGTGACAGCGAGTTTGGCTCATCGGTTCCTAGTTGCTCAGGGCAGAGGTGGCCTGGGGGAGAGAAACTACTGGTGGGTGGCCAACAAAGAGATACAGTGCTGGGCTGGGCGCCCTCACATAGAAACTGTACTTAGCAAGGCCCGTCTGCTCTGAGCTCACTGTCCTCATCAATGAAGGATTGGCTAACATAATCTCTGAGGTCTGTCTCTAGCTCTAACAGGTCTGTCTCTAGCTCTAACTAGCTCCAACAACTCAGTTGCCATCTACCACAGGGCCATTTTTTTCCTGTGTTGGCACTTCCTGGTGAATGAGGCCCAAACTATGCCTCCATACGACCAGGGCTTTGCTCAGAGCTTTGTGTAGGCAAGAGAAACAAACCTAATAGCTAAAATGAGAACTTTTGATTGGCAGTGTATTCTCTGTACCAGTGCTAACCCCCGACTTTTCTCTCTCTGTTCAGGCACTGGCAAGCCCAAATGTGCCCAGGAGTCAGGTCACTGGGCTGGGGCAAGACCTGAGGAGTGGTGGGCCAGAGAGTGAATTCCCTGCCTAAAACGTTCTCATTCTTGTGGTGGCCAAATAAATCACCAGTCTGCAACCTCTTCCACCTAATCCCTAGCCTTCCAAGTATTTTCAAATGAAACTATATGCCAAAGCATAAGATACAAAAGTGGTAAATGCAGAACCAGTTGAAATGAACAGGGGTGGGGTGAAGGGTCACACGTTCAGTTTCCCCACCATCCTCCAAGCCCATGGCTGGGGCCCAACTCAAAGACATTCCTCCAGCTTTCCAGGGCACAGTTTCAAAACCACTGGTCTCAGGGCAGAGGTGGCCTGGGGAGAGATTTTCAAATCATCTAGAATGAATGTAATGAGTGCCTATGTAGTCAACAAGAGACAGAAAAAAGCACCATGGCTGGTACTGTGGGTAAGTGTCCTGGGCTAGTACTTGGTCTGCTGTGCAACTATATGGCCCACTGGAGCAGAATGGCAAGTCAATTGCTGCTGTCAGCAGAGTGGAAGGGCAATTTAATAGAGAACTGCTCAAGGTAAGCCAGCTCACAGCTTTACAGAGTGAGGAAGAGCTATGGGTGCATATGTCCTGTAGGCTTCCTTGGACACCCCCTTCTTGGCCATTTCCCTGAAAACTTTCATGTGTTTCTTCTTTCCACAAATGAGATATTTTACATATATCTCACTAACTGACTGCTCTTTGAATTCTGTTCTGAAGCAGGCATGACATTACTGACTGGCTCATTTCATAAATATATCATGAGCTACCCGGGATTATGTTAATACAAAGCATTTCATTATTGATTTTAAGCATTTTAAATGCAGATTTATGTAAGCCCTTCCAGCTCCTACCAAGTAACTGTGCCAAGCAGAGACAAGCCTAAAAAAAGGTACTTTTCCAGGACAGAATGGTTTAAAGACATCTGATGGTACAAACTGGAAATAAGAGGATTGATTTTTCTTCCCTTTAATTGATCGTTTTCCTTAATACACATATTAAAAAAAAAAACTTGACAGCAGGCCAAGATCATTTTAGGATCTGTTTAATATGAGGTATAAAGTTTTATGGTTTAGTGAAAAGACCCTGAAAAATGAGGTTTCTAATGGAAATGCTGGCAGAGTTTCTACTTCTGGGCTGGGATGTTAATGCTATTAGAAAAAAAAAAAGAAAGAAAGAAAAAAGAAGAGAGAAGAGGGTGGTCACCCATACAAATGAAGGTCTGCTCCCTTGCCTCATAACTTGGATATGAAGTAGGAAATTAGTGTCCAGGATACTTCCTTTCCTTCAGATTTGCTTCAGATTCCTGTACAGGTCAAAACTGAAGGAGGAGAAGCATGTAAGTGTTCAGTGCACAAGCTAGACCCCAGGTGAGGGGGAGGAGCTGATGAGAACACCGGGGTGGGGGTGGGGACGCATCCTGGGGGGGAGGGGGGGCTGACATGACCTTCCTTGTGAAGGTGTGTCCTGGAAGAGCAGCCAGAATGGAGGCTACCAGCCTCGCTGAGAAGCCTGTCCCTGACACATGGCCTGGTTCCTGTGGCCGAGGACTCCTGGTTTGCCCACACCACCCACGTTTGGCTCTGAAGTTAAACAGTTTTCTATTTACCTGACGCTGCTTCTGTAAGGAAGCTGCTGCTAGAAAGTGGAGGCCGAGGTAGCATCCAGGCCTTGGCACTGAGCCATGACAACCTGTCTCCCTTGGTGTTTCTTCCCTCTCTACTTTTTCTACTGTGTCCTCTTCACATCACTGTAAGGCCCAGAGCCACCATCACAGGCCAAATTATAGCAAATGTTGCTAAACCAGGATGACACACTTGTGTCTTTTTCAATGACACACCTCTTCCAGTTACTCCAAATGGAGGGGTGGTTGTAGGGGGCCATACAGATCTGGAGGTGCAGACAAGCCAAAGTGATACATGGCCTGGGGCCGGGGAGGTGAGTGGGTCTGCTGACACTTCTGATCCGCAACAAGGCAGAGCTCTAGGCTCTGAGGGCAGCCTAGAAGGGGACAACGGGGCGTGAAACCATTTCCTCTGTGTCCACAAGGCACCTGGAGATGAGGGAAACGGAACCCATGCTTCCAAACTACCCAAAAGGACAGATGTGGGGCAAAAGAGAAGAGGTGAGACACAGCAAAGGAACCTTCAACATTTAGCATCACAGAGAGAGGATGTGGGAAAGTAGGTCTCTTTCATCACCAACTGTGGGCCTCCTGCTCTATCTGGTCCTACTGTTGGCTGGGGAGAATATGTTTCCTGAGAGGGCTTGTTTGTTTTAATGGGTCTGTAATTCTGTTTCCACTCCAGTTCTGCTGCATTCAACATTAACAATTTACTCACTTGGTCATGAGGAAAAAACGAGAAACACACTTGACAAGCAAATTTCATGTTGCTGGGAGGTGTTCTGATACCAGCAATGAAATAGGGGCACCGTGGAGCAAAGGAGGCAGGGGATGAGAAGGAAGAGGGAGGCGGGCCCTGGGCCACACTTACCGGTGGAGGACCCCACGCCAGCTGCCCGGAACTGCCCCAGGATGAGGCTCTGCTCGCTCTCCGCCAGGGCCAGCAACAGTTCGTAGGCTTCTATGCACTGCTCACTGAAACAGAAGCACACAGCATCCTCGACTCTGGGAGGGGACAGTAGGCTTCTTCAGTGCAGCACTGTCCCCCGAGGGGGAAGCAGCTCCAGACCTGCTTCTCAGCCGTGCTGTCCATGTAAGGAGGAAATGCCCACAAATATTCCCACACAAAGCCCAGGGCTTGCCCTGCTATGCTGTCCCCCACCCCCGCCCCGCAATTCACTTAATTTAAACTTTTACTTTCAACTAAGATTTTGGGGTGCCTGGGTGGCTCAGTCCTAGTCAAGTGTCCAACTCTTGATTTCAGCTCAGGTGGTGATCTCAGGGTGGTGAGATCAAGCCCTATGTGGAGTCTGCTTGGGATTCTCATTCTCTCTCTCTCTCTCTCTCTCTCCCCCCACCCCCCGCCACTTGTCACCCCCACTGATGCGTGTGCATGTCTCTCACTCTCTAAAAATAAATAAACTAGGATCTAGAAAAATACCAGAGAAGCAATAAAAGTGGGAGAATTAAGTTTAATGCTTCTTTAACGATCGGCTAAAAAGGAAATGTAATATGCTTATGGTAGCCAGCCTCCAAGATGGCCCCCACTGATCCCATATGCTGGTATCCACACCCTTGTGTTATCTCCTGCACTACACCAGAGTTGGTCTATGTGACTAAGAGGATATGGGATGTCATTTTCAAGATTAGGTTATAAAAAAGCATGGTGACTTCCATCTTGGTCACTCTCTCTCCCTTCACTTTCTGTCTTGGATCATTCTCACTAGAGAAAGCCAGTGGTCATGTCTTAAAGCCTCTTGGGCAGCCCCATGGAGAGACCCATGTGGTGAGGAACTAGGCTTCCAGCCTGGTGAGTGAAGAACTGAGGAACTCTACCAAACAGGCTATGTGAATGAGCCTTCTTAGAAACAGATCTGCCAGCTCCAGTTAAGGTTTCAGATGACAGTCCTGGCTGACAGCTTGAGCGGACCTCCTAAGAGACTCTGAGCTAGAACACTACTGAGCTAAATTACTCTCCCCACTTCCTGACCCTAGAAACTGAGGCACAAGAGATAGTTACACAGTAATGGGAAGGTAGGTAGGTAGGTAGGTAGGTAGAAGGAAGGAAGGAAGGAAGGAAGAGAGAGAGAGAGAGAGAGAGAGAGAGAGAGAGAGAGAGGCACACAATTTTGACCTAGATCTTCAGTAACCAGCTAGCCACATATGGCTATTTAAATTAAAAAGAATTTAAGTTACGGGGCGCCTGGGTGGCTTGGTTGGTTAAGTGTCTGCCTTTGGCACAGGTCATGATCCCAGGGTCCTGGGATCGAGCCCACATCAGGCTCTCTGCTCAGCAGGGGGTCTGCTTCTTCCTCTCCCTCTGCCTCTGCCTCTCCCCCACCCCTTCTCTCTTGCTCTCTCTCAAATAAATAAAATCTTTGGGGATCCTTGGGTGGCTAGTGGCTTAGCACCTGCCTTTGGCCCAGGACGTGATATTGAAATCCCGGGATGGAGTCCCACATCGGAATCCCCGCAGGGAGCCTGCTTCTCCCTCTGCCTGTCTCTGCTTCTCTCTCTCTCTCTCTGTGTCTCTCATAAATAAATAAAATCTTTAAAAAAATCTTTAAAAAATAAGAATTTAAGTTAAGTAAAAAGAAAAATTCAGTTCCTTTGTTGCCACAGCCATATATCCTATGTTTAAGAGCCACACGTGGCTAGCAGTTACCATACTGAACATCACAGATAACAGGTCCATCATCACAGAAAGTTCTATTAGATGCTTGTAATATTGCCCCTTGAAACATTTACGAAATCTCTGACAAATTTAGATTTCTAGGAGGAAGAAATTAGTCTCTCTGCCTCTCTCTTCGTGCCTGTCATCACTGGGCACACCAGGTCCAGGACTGGAGACAGACCCCTTCCTAATGGCCATACGTGACTCACACAGATCCATGTCTGCACAGGAAGTGGAGCATGTGCACCATGCCCGAGTACTCCTGGACAAGACGCCTGCAGCGCAGAAACTTCCCTGCTAAGCAAATAACTGATTAGCTTCTCTAAGCTAAGCTGAGGAAATGTTGCTTTACTCAACATTTAGTCAACAGACCATCTGTTTTTCAATCATCTCACTTCCATCTTCTTCCACTAAAAGATAAGGAGGATCACCCATTCATTAGCTCTGGGTGCTGGCAGCTCCTCCTTTCAAGGGTAGTTCATCTTTCAGGTTAGAGATGCTGCAACACTGCTTCATCCACACAGATCAAAGGCAGACTGTTGCTGCAGAACAGCCTGTTTCCAGGATTTATCATAGGTAGATTACCTGCCTGCTTTGGGAGGTGTGTCTGTAAACTAGCATGATGTGCTCTAGCTTTGGTCTCATAGATTTTGCTTTTTTTAAGTAGGCTCCACACCCAGCGTAGAGCCTAACATGGGGCTTGAACTCACGACTCTGAGGTCAAGACATGAGATGACATCAAGAGTCGGAGGCTTAACTGAGCCACCCAGGCTCCCTTGGTCTCATAGGTTTTGGGGTTTGATTTTGTTTTTTGAAAAAAAAAAAAAAGTTTCTTAAAACATACTGATCTTTTCAGAGGATACTAAGAGTAAGGTACCGCCCCTATTCTGGAATCTTGGAAATATGCCTAAGTAGTGCCACTAATAAAATAAACCCCTGAAAACAATAATGCACAGCTTTACAGCTATTAAACAAATAGTAACTTAAAAACAGGTAAGTTCCAAAGCTGATGAGGCTGAAAAGAAGTGGTACATTCATACACCACTTGCTCATTGATGAATGAACTGCAGTCATTCATTATTTTTTTAAGAGATTTTATTTATTTATTATTGAGACACTCACAGAGAGAAAGGCAGAGACATAGGTAGAGGGAGAAGCAGGCTCCCTGTGGGGAGCCCGATGCAGGACTGGATCCCAAGACCTTGGGATCACACCCTGAGCCAGAGGCAGACACTCAACCACTGAGCCACCCAGGAGTCCTGAACTGCAGTCATTTAAACTGGCTTGTTTTTATGGGAAAAAAATTGGAAGCATACCAGAGGAGCCACAAAAATATTCATATCTTTTGATCTGTAATTCCTGCTTTGGGGATTTTATCCCACAGAAAATATTCAAAAGAATGACGGTATTATCTGTATTAATTATTCCCCATAAAATTGTTTTTTATATTCAAAGTCCACAAAAATCTGAATATCTTTTAGAGAAATGAGTAAATAAAATAAGAATATATAAACTAGATGCAGGGGATACAGCCATTCAAAATGCATGCAGACAATTAAGAAACATTACAAAACTTCCATAAATTAAGGAAATAGAATATCCTATACTTATAATAATGTAAAACATATATGAAAATAAAGACTTATAAGAGCAACAAATGAATATATAAATATGAAAATAAATATATTGAATGATATTACTTGAATGGAATAATACTTAGGTTGAACATGCCAGTAGAAACATACCAGTTTTCCAACACCATACTCATTGCTCTTATTTTCTTAATCATCACAAGGTGCTAATGGATTTTTCAGTATGTATCACATTAGTATTTGGTGGTCCAACTTTCTGTATGTGTTCTAAAAGACTGGTTTCTACTTTATGCAGGTTACTGTGGATGCATTTCTAAATTAAAATGCTCCCCATCCCACACGCACACGCACATACACATGCAGCCTGCATTTCCCTACCTGTACTGCAGGGCCAGCCTCAGTGCTGTGGCATTGGATTCATACTTTCCTACCAGCATGCTCATCCTTTCGGCGTTGCTTTTGCATTCTTCCAGGGTTATGGTCAGGAGGTCATTTTGGGATTTGAGATGTTCAATGCGGCTACAAAGAAAGAAAAATCCCTTTTATGATTTCACATTAGGATTACAATTCATTTGCCAATATTTGAGTGGTCTAATCTAGATCCAGGCTAGACACGCATGTTAGGAGGTGAGCTTGTCAAAGGTTTTAGCAAATGTAACTGATGTGAGTAATAAAGAAAGCAACTTTAAGAATCACTAAATTCTGTGTGAATTAGAAATACACACAAGCCCCCTGTTACTTCCCACCCAGCCAGCAACACACCATGTGCCAGTTATGTGTGAGGTGCTGAGGATCCACCAGGGAAAGAAGTCAATCACGTTTCCTCAGGCTCTTATGAGAGGCATGACAGGTGCACTTCAATAAACCACCCTCCACAGGGACAAAAAAAATTTAAAAAAAGGCAGTACCATAGTAATAGCTACTATGTGTTAAACCCTTGCTCAATAACCTGCCATCACCCTTTGAATTAAGTATTATTATCCCCATTCTCAGAGGAGCAAACAGAGGCACCGAAAGGTTAAGTGCCTTGCCCTGGGATTTGAACTAGGCAGTTTGACCTCAGATCCTCTTCTCTTAACCACTTACTACAGAGCAGAAGATGAATCAGGGAGTAAGAAACTGTCCCTAAGGGCCCTTTGAATGGGCAACAGACCAGGAACTGTGGATTGTGTTCAAAACTCCTTCCAGGTTGTACAGTGCCACAACTGCTGACTACTGGTAGGACAGGCAGTGGGACTGGACCCACTTCATGCTTTATAGGAATCAGAACTACAAATTCAGAGCAAATGAGTTTTTGGCAAAGTCAGCAAAACATAAGCCTTCCGCTTCTCTGTTTTCTGTCCTGAGACAGAGGCTCTGGATGCAATGATTCATTTCCCATGGACACATCCATTGATAGTACTCTGACCACCAAGTCTTAAAGACACACAGGGTTTCACACATATAAAATGCAAGTGACTCTTGAAATGGTAAGGGTCTTGGAAGCCATTTGCCTTGAGGACCAATCATCGGACCACATATCTTAGAGCAGAATATGGAGACACCAACATGAGAGATGTCTCGTGGGTGTATAACGAAGACCACTGTGAGGTTTTGACAACTCCAAGCTTAATTCAATGTAAGGCGTTACAAGAACATACTGTTCTGTTCTTGTTGACATTAAGATTTCTTGAAACAGTCCCCACTCTCATTTACTACAACTTGCTTCCAGTGTACATTTGGTCCTCACTAAGTAGGTGGAACTCTTTAGCTAGCTCATAGACTTCCATGTGGCCAATCCCATTTAATGGGCCTTCTCAGGCAACACCCCACTAAACGGCTACTCCTTCCTTCTGAAAATGTTCTCTCTCACTTGGATCATAATAGGTCTTTACTGGTTCTCTTCCTGCCTTATAGGTCATTCCTTCTGTCTCCTTTGTTCATTCCTTATTTTCTGTGAAATCTGTGGGGGTTGGCATTCCCTTGGGACACAGCCCTGGCTGCCCTCCTCTATCAACACTCCTCCCTTCAGGGTGATTTTATCCAGTCCTATGACTTCATCAGGCATTTATATTCCTATGGATCACAAATTTCTTTAGCTCAGATCTCTCTTCTGAGTGCCGTTCTCACATCTCCAGATGTTTCCTGATATTTCCATTTGGATGTCATACTGGCACCTCAAATTTAAGACTCTTGATTTTCCTCAAATCTTGTCCTCTCCTATCTCAGTAATCTACATCTCAGTAAATGCTACCACCATCCACCCAACAATACAGGTGAGACACGTGAGAATCTTGAGACCATCTCTTCCTCTTACATCCAGATCTAATTGTAACTGCAGTGTCCACTGAATTTATCACCAAAAACACTGACCCCCACCCTCTTCATATCACATCCACTTTGGCCACATTGGGCCTCTGCAGTCATTGTTCTGCATCCACTCTTGCCCCTCCTTCTTTACACCTGAATCATCTTTCAAAATTTAAATCAGATCCGTTCTGCTACATAAAATCCTTTAACAACTTCCAAGACACTTAGAATAAAGAACAAACTTGGTCCACGGCCTCAAAATCCATATCCCGGGCAGCCCGGGTGGCTCAGCGGTTTAGCACTGCCTTCATCCCAGGGCCTTATCCTGGAGACCCGCCATCGAGTCCCACATTGGGCTCATTGCATGGAGCCTACTTCTATGTCTCTGCCTCTCTCTCTGTGTCTTTCATGAATAAATAAATAAAATCTTAAAAAAAAATCCATATCCCACTGAGCCCTGCCAACTCTGCTACCTTTACTGCATATGACTTCTTTCATTCACTCCATTTCAGTTCCACTGGCCTTTGGACAGTTCTTACTTCACATCAACCTCCTTTTCGATCTTAAGGTTGTAATTTGGTCCATAAGACTCTTAGTTTGTCATATGGCTGCTTCCTTTCCCCCTTAAAATCTCAACTTAGGGATCCCTGGGTGGCTCAGAGGTTTAGCACCTGCCTTCGGCCCACGTGTGATCCCGGAGTCCGGGGATCAAGTCTGGCATCAGGCTCCCTGCATGGAGCCTGCTTCTCCCTCTGCCCCCCCCCTCCGTCTCTCATGAATAAATAAATTTTAAAAATCTTAACAAAAATAAAATTTCAACTTAAAGCCCCCTCTTCAGAGATGCTTTCCCTGGCTACCTATCTAAAATTAACACCCCCTGGGGACACCTGAGTGTTTCCCTTGGCTGAGCATCCATTAAGCATCTGACTCTTGATCTCAGCTCAGGGCTTGATCTCATGGTTTTGAGTTTGAGCCCCATGTTGGGCTCCAGACTCGGCCTGTAGCCTACCGAAAAAGCAACACTTTCACCCCTCCTCTATCACAGTGCCTTGTTTACTGGGAGTTCTCTTAAGATCTCATTTGTTTGCCTCTTGTATAACTCCCCTAACAGAATATAAGTTCCATGAGAGCAGGGACCTTTTCTGTTTTTCTTTCCTTTGCATGACAAATAACTTAGTACAGAGTAGGTGCTTAAAACAGATTTGTTACATAAGGAAACACTTCTGAGGAGATATAACCCCCATTCCACACACAATCACAAAGCTAAAGGCTCTCATTTTGGGGGTGAAATAGGGCATCCAACTTTGAGATGAGCAGTTTAATGGCAGACATGAGGACATACTGGTAGGCTATTTCTAAGATTATTCCCACATTCTAGTTGTAGCTATCTCTTCAGCTGTCTCTTCAGAGACAAGACACTGGAGGGGAAGTCCAAGGGCAGGGGTAGAATTTCAGCTGGGCTATTGAACAGCGCTGGACTCAAGGCAAGTCGCTTAACATCAAAGCCTTTGTTTTCTCATTTGCAAAATGGGACTACTGTACCCTCCCATGTTGAAGATTAAGTGGTTGTTTGTGAGAACCCTTGGCAAACCAAGACACCATGATAATGTGAGCTATAAGGACCAAATTCTTCCCTTTCTCTGGTGTCTCAGTTCAGTGCGCAGAACTGAGAAAGGAACCTCCCCCAAGTTCAACCACAAAGCAGACTTGTGAAATCCTAGAATCTGTAGAGAAGAGATCCTCACTCACGGAGGGCCCCTGAAGGCATCTAACTTCATTAAACTGCAAAGGGCATATCTGATTCAGATCTTAAGCACTCCCTGGCCATGTACTGACAGGGCTGTTTTACTGCTATAAGGTAATCATCAGGATTGTCACTCATAAGTATTTCGGATTTAATAAGGAAACCACTTAATTTCCAGATTTGAAATGACCTAGCCTGCTGCATTTCCTTAGTCCTTAAGCACTGTATTAAACAGCTTCAAATCAGGGAGGAGTAACATTACAATTCAATCTATTCAGGCTTGCCAGACACAAGAGGAACGGTATTAAGCAACGGTGGAGGAGGGCTGGCACCCACATTTCTTCCTGGTTAGTTCATAAGCCTTTCAAATTCTTACTGTGCTCTCCCACTGATGATTGGTAGGTCAAGGCAGCCACGCCACACTTGGATGTGATTCAGCAGTGCGCTCTGCCCCTGCAGGACCCATTCTGAGTCCGTGGTTTACCAGGATTTGGCCCTGGTCCTTGTTTGCTTTGTCAGCAACCCTCATTTCTGGGATGACCTATAAACCAGCCTTTGCCAAGAGGCATAAGTATAAACTTTAACTACCTCTGTTGTGAGATTTGGGAAGAATCCATAAAACTGGGAAAACTTTCTAAGCAGGACAGTTAGACCTACTTAGAAAGTTATCCTAAGTAGGACTAAGTAGGATAGAATGTAGGGACTGAGGATTATGTACATTTGCAAAGAGCATAAATGAAATGAGGCAGCCTCTGGGGGAGCAGGGAGGGCTAGACCAGCATATTTGGTCAACCCCAGAATGCCTCAATAAGACTGCCTTTGCTGGTTCCTGATAGTTCCAGGCGCCCGGAGGATGCGGACTCAATATTCCGGAGCTTCTCTCTGTGGTTCCTGGCAGCACAGGCAGGCATGCTTGGAGGCCAGCTTGTCTTTCTGACCTACTTGTTATTCAATACAAACTGTTCCCAGGACTTGGCACCTAATCTGCAAGGGCCAGTACGAAATAAAAAGGTGGAACTCTGGCTTCATAAATTAAGAATTTATTTTTATTTTTTAAAAGGTTCTATCCATTTATTTGAGAGAGAGAGAGAGAGAGAGAGAGAGAGAGACGGAGAGCACAAGCAGGGAGAGCTGCAGAGGACAAGGGAGAAGTAGGCTCCCCAGTAGTGGGGAGCCTAACACAGGGCTCCATCCCAGGACCCTAGGATCATGACCTGAGCATAAGGCAAGCACTTAACCAGCTGAGACACTCAGGTGCCCCAAGAATTTAAAAAGGTGACAGTAGAACAGGAAAGCCAAGTGTGGATGTTTCCAAACATGAGGCTTGTCAGTTTGAATACACAGGTCACACAAGGCCCACGAAGCCAGCCCCGACTGCCATAAGAGCTCCTCTGATGAACAAGAAGGTGGGAACTCCCCGCCCACCAGCCTGACAGCATCTTTCTATATCACAATTCATAAGCCAACTTGAATTGATCTTTGAAAGAGAAACGAGGGCAGCTCCCCACCCCTATAACACCATCGCTCAAAGTTACAAAATTTCTCCTTACCTATTCAATCGTTCTGTTTCCACCTCAAACTCTCTAATTTTGCTTTCGGAGATGGCAGATCCATGTGAGTAGAGTGTCTGGAAGATTTCCTGGATGTTGGAGCAGTCCTGAAGAGAGTGGGCCAGGTGTTCCGCCACACTGCTGGATACCTGCACAGGTAAGCATGAATCCCCCTCTAGTCAGTGTCGCTTTAGGGACCAGTCCTCAGGCATGCTTTGCATGCAAAAGAATTTACAGCCGATATTCCTTGACAACCAGGCACCAGGAAATGGTTACCCTGATCCTTCTCAGTCTGTGTAGTATGATTCTATGATAAAAAGCTAACTACTGGGGATCCCTGGGTGGCGCAGCGGTTTGGCGCCTGCCTTTGGCCCAGGGCGCGATCCTGGAGACCCGGGATCGAGTCCCACGTCGGGCTCCTGGTGCATGGAGCCTGCTTCTCTCTCTGCCTCTCTCTCTCTCTCTCTCTCTCTCTGTGACTATCATAAATAAAAAAATTAAAAAAAAAAAAAAAAAAGCTAACTACTGTGAAAATAGCACATAAACAGAATCAAAATACAGCTGTATCCTCTAGGCATGTGTTTCTGGGCAGCCAGCCTGGGGAGCATGCCTCTTTAGAGTTCCTAGATTTGGGGATATTGAGCAGAGTCTGTTCTCCCTTCCCCTTCCTGACCCCCTGCCCCTCCATGCCCTTGCCTCTCTGTTTGCTGCAGCCAAAGAGTGCAACCAGCTCCTTTATTTTCACAGTTTGGCTTTGGCATCGAATCTGGATCCATGCAATTTTTCTCAGTGCAAAATTCTAAATTAGGGCTTCAAAAATACTATTCAGGCTTTCCCCACCCCTGAGGATCAAATAGCTGACTCTCAGCCTCAGCCCCAATCCTAAAAAAAATATTCCTTAGGGAACTAAAACTATTCCCTTTCTACCATTCATCAGCTCTTATGGCCCCAAGGGGTTTTTAGGCTCTTCAGAGGAAAACCCTGGTACTAAGTGAGAAGGTTCTGGTATTTCTCAGCATTGGGCTACACTTCAAAGGCAGCATTCATCCTCAGTGAAGAGTACATTCCCTTTTAAGAGGCATATGCAAAAAGTCAAATTCTTTCAGAGCTCCCTGACCCACTCGGTCTCTGGGATATAAGCAGGTACTTTAAGACTTTTATCTGTATTACCAGCAACTAGACATAAGTCATTTCTTTCTGAAAGTTTCCAGGTAGAGAAAAAGAGAAACTTCATAGCTGAAGAAGTGGTTCCCTGATGAAGAAACCATGGTACTCTTTTATCTGATCCTCTGGAAGGAAATGGGGTATAATTTATTTTATAATTAACTGGTTTACAGGAGGTGAACTTGGGAAGTTCTGTCATCTACAAGCTGCTGTCTGTGTAGCTCTACTGGGCACTTACTTTCTTGCCTTGTTTCTTGTGAACACTCACCCCTATACTACTGATTTCTGATCCTAGGACCGGCCGATCCGATGATGAAGACTCAGACCTGGTCTTCGATAGCTTCACCCTCTCAGCAATCTTGAAAAACAAAAAATTATCAAAAAATGACATATCACTTTCCAGATAAACTGTCAAGACTGCACTTATACAGGGCTACTGTTTAGCCATGGCAACTAAACTGATTAATCATTTTCCTAAAAATAACTCACTTGTCCAATTTTTCCACCATCTGCTTAACCCATGGTTTCCCAACCTCAGCACTAGTGACATCTTGGGTTGGATAATCTCCGTTGTAGAGGGCTATTCTGTGCACTGTAGGATGGCTAGTGGCATCCCAGGTTCCTAGCCACAAGATGCCAATAGCACTCTAGTTGTGACCATCAGAAATGTCTCCAGATATTGCTAAATATCCCTCGGGGGGACAGGATCACTTCTGGTTGAAAAGCAAGGGTTTGACCTCACTTATTCAACTTGATGGTTGAGAACAAATCTTCTTGTGGAGACTGGTAGACTACCAGGGAAAAGCACATGTGTCATTTGAATACTCCTTCTGGATTAGACTCAACCTATGAGCAGCGATGGGGCTGCTTCTCTGCCACGGCCTACCTACCAGAATCTATTTTTCTGCAAGTAGGGCTATTGGTGCTATGAGAAGGGAGATCACTGATTCATTTACTCAGGGTCCCTTTCTGGGCTGAAACTCGGCCCTCAGGAGCAACTATCCATCCACCCCTTACTATTGTAGAATCTCACAAAATATTGCATTTTCCATAATGACTTGTCAGCTATGACCTGCTCCTCCTGGCTCATTAATGAGAGTTGGCATCCAGGTCACAGCTGAGAGAGACTTAAAACTACCAGTGGTTTATTCCTCCCTGCAGCCCCAGCATAGGAGGCCTTTGGAGTACAAGGGATGCCCCTTGGGGCCCTATGAGCTCTTCACATGACTGTACAGCAGCAATGCATGGTAGAAGCTGGTGCTGATTCCAGATAAAAGAGCAGGGTTCCCGCCCGCCCCTGGAGCTCACCTTGGCAATGGGAATGTCATTGCTGCTGCTGCTCGTGCTCAGCTCCCCGGTACTGGGGTTAACTGGGCGGTTGGCGGAAGTGAGGCGGCCAGGGCTAGAGGGCCCTGTGGCCTGCACGCTCTGTAGTCGTGTTTGAAGCTCTCGAACCTGAAATAATAATGCCTTTAGACAGAGTTGGTGGCTTCCCTGGCCAAAGGGCAAAATAACAGATGGCTGGATGGCTGGGTTTTCATTTCCATTAAGAGATCAGCTTCACTGAAAACCTCACTTGGTTGAGTCCACAGAGAAGTTTGACCTACCACCGGCTGGCCATCAACTGTTCTTTGCAAATATTATCTAAAAATGTTTTCTAAGGCTTTGAAAGCTTCCAGCAGAGATGGCAGGACCATCTTTAAGAAATGTTTATTCATTCTACCTCATGGGCTTGAATGTCTTGGGCAATGCAGATGGAGAACCTGGGATTAAAATTGCCACTCTCCTGGAACTCAAAGCTCAGAGGAAAAGAGAACAAATAATTTCAATGCAAGTGCACATTAGTGCTGTAAATATCTGCCTAGGGTATTGTAGGAAGCAGACAAGGGGGGAAATGTGCCTTCATCGAAAGTTGACAGGGAAGGAGGGGATGGTGCTTGAATAGTCTTGCAAGTGGCCAAGTCACAGTAGATGAGATGAGTAGGGGCCGGCTCTGATGGGGGTAGGAGTAAGCTGGGATGGAGAACAGCTTGCACAAGAGCACAGGCATCAGGGTGATATGCTGTACTTGAAGAACTGCATGGTATAGAAGAGCCACATGCACTGGAAGGAGGGGAGGCTAAGGAGAAGACATAGATGCACCTGTTGTTTTCTCCCCCAAGAGACTTCAAGAAGGGATTATCTGGGGGACAGTGGGAAGGAACATCTAAACAGTCTTTCCATATAGAAGAGCAATACAGGGTCCTTCGAATTACATTTAGAACACACAATTCCCTGCACAGAATTTAAATATCCAAACTCTCTTCTTTGTGGTTATGGCTCAGTGATTTTCAAAGTGAGAAGTGCTCCAAGCAAGTAAAAATAATTGTTAGAAACTGGTCTGATGACCTGGATTGCAGTTTTAGCATCAGGAACAATGTGTACCTTGAAGGGTAAACTGATTACAGCACCCAAGGGTCCTTACAAATAGGCACTTGGTTCTGCTGGGAAGAATTAGCACCAGGACCTCTAAGTCAAGGCTTTCCAAACTTGTCAGTGCACCAGAATGTCCAGGAGGCTTGTTAAAACACAGAGCCCAGGGCCCCACCCCTAGGGATTCTGATTTAGTAGGTGGAATCTGCATATGTAATAGGCTCCCAGGATCTGCAGATGCTCCCAGGTGGGGGCTTACACCTTGAGTCTTAAGGGACTCTTAGGACCACACAGCACTTCAGTCTCAGAGACAGGAGGAAGGGAGCTGCATCCTTGACAACAAACCCTTCTCTAAAAGCGACTGGAAAGTTTCTCATATTAAGTATCTTGGATGTCTCCATCCTGCTAAATTGGGAACCATAAGTAATTGAAATTTCAAAAATTCGTCAATATATTAGAAGCCAAAAGAGGAAAATTTCCCTTGGAGCAAATTGTATTCAATAGTGTAACAGCTACAAAGTGCCTCACTCTAGGCTATGGCTTCCAGTAATGGGGGCTGATGGAAATGCGGGTCGTCCTCAGAGCACACCAAACAAAAGGCAGACCTCAAAATAAAATAAAATAAAATAAATCTATAAATATATATTTATTTAAATATATATTTAATATATAAATATATATAATATAATAATATAAATATAAATATATAATATATATAAATATAATTATATTTTTATATATATATATAAATATAAATATAAAATAAATATAAATAAAATATAAAATAAAATAAAAATAAAGACTAGAAAAACACATCTTGTTGAAGCTAAATGGTATTGCTGGTGAGAGATGACAGGGCTTATTCTGGACTGGTCCCCAACAAATCAGGAAGAGGCACAATGTGGGCGCCTTGTTAGGTCACATGGCAAAGCAGGGGCCTGCTTTTCATCCAGCCAGCTTCCTGGCACCTGGGAAACCTCCCGGACGGAGACCACGGATTTCCATTGCCACCGCTGGGAAAGTCTGATGAGGTCCTGAATAATTAACATTAACACTGCTCCAAAATCTAAAGAGCATCTGAAACCTTCACAAAACAATCCATGGTCTGTTCCTAGAATACCAATTGGCCCACTCACCTTACTTTAAAATATATATATAAACTGTCCTGGGCAATTTATAAAAATTGTCTTAAAATTACCCGTGTTACTGAAAAAAAGTTTCTTCTTCGAATCACTCAAGTAAAACATGTCCACTGTGGAAAATTAAGATGGCACTGAAAAAATAAAAACAGAAAAGGTATCTAATATTCTTTCTTTCTATGTTTCCATGGCTTGTTTAAACAGAGGTGTGTGTGCCTAAAACAATTTCTAAATCTAAGTATGCATTTTCATTTTAAAAGTGTTAGACCTACAGAATGTCTTTGAAAACTAAGGAATGTTAAACATGTTTATTGTTGGTCTGCGCTTTATCATTTAATGATAATTGTTAGGCAGTGAAAAAAAAATCCAGCTGAAGGGAGTGGAGTGAGCCTGTCATAAAGATAGACAGCCAACTGGATTAAATAGCTTTCTCACTTGTCTTGATTTGGAGGTGGGGGTCTTAATGAATTTAAATGAATAAACGCACAGAAATGAAGGCTAAAACCAATTTGCTGACTCAGCTTAGGCGAAGCTGAGAGTCACAGCTTCTCCTGAGAAGGGAGAGACACAGCTATGGTTGTCCTCATTCCCATCCTTACCTGCTCTTATAGGTTGTGTCATGCCCCTCCCCTGCTCCCACCAAAGACAGGTTCAATTTTTAAGCTTGCAGTATCTATGAATGTGACCTCATTTTGGAATATGATCCTTGTAGATATAATTAAGAATCTCAGGATGTTCGGCAGCCCAGGTGGTTCAGCGGTTTAGTGTCGCCTTCAGCCCAGGGTGTGATCCTGGAGACCCAGGATTGAGTCCCACATCAGGCTCCCTGCATGGAGCCTGCTTCTCCCTCTGCCTCTGTCTCTGCCTTTCTCTGTGTGTCTCTCATGAATAAACAAATAAATCTTTAAAAAAAAAAAAAAGAATCTCAGGATGAGATCATCCTGGATTTAGGGTGTGTCCTAAATCTAATGACTGGTATCCTTAAAAGAAAAAGGAGAGGGAAATTTAAGGCACAGAGGTACATGGGGCGCTTGGCTGGCTTGGTTGGTGGAGTGTGTGACTCTTGGGGTTCTGAGTTTGGACCCCACGTTGGGCGCAGAGATTACTTGGGGTATGGGGGGAGATACAGAGACACAGAGAAGAAGGCCAAGTAAAGATGGAGGCTGAGATTCGCCTCAAGTCAAAGAACTCCAGGACCTACCAGAACCTGGAAAGTCAAGAGCCCTTGGAGGAAGCACAGCCCTCCAACACCTTGGTTGCGTGGACTCCAGAACTATGAGAAAAAAATCTCTGTTGTTTTAAGCCACTGAGTTTGGGGTAGTTAAATAATATGCTCATCCTTCACTGGAAATATTTTATTAAAGAAAATATGTTTATCTCTACAAAACATGTGGTTTGGAGTCATGGGGTAGCTGGGAATCACCGCTACCCTAAACTAGGAATCAATACTTATAAGAAAGTCATTCATCATCCTTTCCAGGCTTTCTCAATTGGAGTTCAGCAATAGAACACAGAACATGATTTGAGTGGCCATTTTCTAATTTCTCCTAAAGTGAGTACATAGCCAGTACTCATCTAGATGCCCAGAAAAGAAGGCAATCTATTATAGAGGCTCCTGGGTGGCTCAGTCGGTTAAGTGTCCGACTCTTGATTTCAGCTGTTGTGACCTCAGGGTTGTGAGACTGAGTCCCACGTTGGCCTCCACACTGAACCTGGAGCCTACTTAAGATTCTCTCCCTCTCCCTCTTTCCCTCCCACCCCCACTCATTTATTTACACAGGCTCATGCCAGCACGCACGCTCTCTCTCTCTCTCAAGAGAAAAGGAGTCAATCTGTTGCATATATTGGAAAAATGAGAGTATGAAGGTAAGATTTATTTTTTTAGGGGCTTGAAGTCTAGCCAAACATTACAACATGAATGGACTCTGAAAAGGGTTAGCAATAGGAGCTTCAAAGTATAAAAGAAACACTGCCTCTGCCTCGCCATAGTAGGAAACACTGGGATTCAATCTTGGAGGTCAAGTTCACCAAGCAAATAAAAAGGAAGAGACAACAACATAGGCAGGGTGGAGCCAGGCAGGGAGAACTCTGAAAGGTCCGAGTAAGGAAATGAGCCTAAAATGCCAGAACGCTGCATGTCTCGTTTATACCTTAATGGCTCTCAAAGGGAGAAAGGGTCTTATAAAAATTCATTTGATTAGAAAAGAGAATGAACTGAAATGAGCAAGAAGAAGGGGGCGAGTCAAGCGCTGTTCAAAAGAAAGATGAGGCTCAAACACAGAGAAATGGGAGCAAAAACAGCAAAACACACCCTAAAGGAGCGTTGCCCAACTTCCGGTAATGATGATGATGTTCTACAGCTGCACTAGCCAAACATGTCTACCGAGAATTTGCAAGGTGCCTACTAGACCCAAGGAACTGAATTTTTAATTGTATTCTGTTTTAGCCCATTGAATTCACATATAAATAGAACATAAGCAAAAATAGAATATAAGCCAAATATAAGTTACATGTGGTCAGTAGCTACTGTATGGTTCAGTGCAGTTCTAGAACTATTCAAGGAAGTTAAAACAACTCAAACTCATGGCTGGGTAATTCAATGAATCAGGTCACTACTCAGCACAATGGGGAAAAGGGAAGAAGATTTTCCATACAGAAATAGAGATGTTAGCTTCAGACATGCTGAATTTGAGAAAACCATGGGGCAGGTGAGTGAGGATATTCAGTCAACAGTTAGAAATATAACCTAAGAGAAGGAGATCAGAACTGGGCATGAAGTTTAGGAATTTTGCATGTGAATAAGGCTGCCCAGGGAAGAGGCAGGGCAGTGGGGATGACAGCAGAGCCCATACAGAGTGAGGCAAATTGAAAGATAAACAGAGGACAAATGAGATTTTGCTCCAG